GTAAATGAAACTGGTCCATTCTGTTCTGTTACCAATAGTTATTGGATGCTTTCTATACACTAGGCACTATTTTAGATATTGGGCATATGGCACAAAACAAAACCAAGCACTGCCTTGTTGGAGTTTACAGGTCAAAGTGTGGCAAGAAGGGCAGAGGTTTATCATCACAAGGAAGGAAGGAAGGTCTTTTCAGGGAAATGTTATTTAAGCAAAGATACAAAGGAGGTGATGGAGCTGTACTGGTGACTGAGGTAAGAGCGGTCCCAGCAAGGAATTGTCAGCACAAAGTCCCTGAAGCAGGTGCATACTTTCATGCTCAAGGGACAAAAGGGAGATCAGTAGGTAGAATAGAATGAGCAAAGATGAAAATGGGAGAAGATAAAGACAGAGGTGAGGGAAGCCAAATCTAGTAGGGGTCTAGATGCCTCCGTAAAGACATTGGCTTTTACTCTGAGATGGAGAACTATTGGAGAATTTTTAGCAGAAGAGTGATACGTTTTAACTTGAAGTTGATAGGGTTACCCCAGCTGTCCGCACTGTACAGGACAAGGGTTGAATCAAGACTGAGGAAGGGCCAGGGATTTAGCTTAGCAGTTCGGTGGCCTGCCTTGCAAGCGCAAGGACCCGAGTTCAATCCGCAGCACCCCCCCGCCGAAAAAAAGAATCAAGTATCAGAACAAGTTACTAGGGTAGCGCTCAAACAGCGAAAGAAGACTGAGGAAGAGGTTTCTGTAGTAATCTAGGCAAGAGGTAATGGTGGCTTGGACTGTGGTATATTGGAGATGGCAAGGACAGGTTGGACATTATTTCATGTAGTGCTGGGGGGAAGATGAAATGGGGTGGTGAGATAAGTTGTTCTGAGGAGAGGGTAAGGACTACTTTAGCTAATGTGACCTCAAAAGCCTCCCTGTGCCAGGTATGATGGCACATGCCTATAATCCTAGCACTCGGGAGGCTGAGGCAGGACGACTGTTTCTAGTTGGAGGCCAGCCTGAATACATAGCAAGACCCAGTCTCATAAAAACACAAAGCCTCCCTGAGTAGTGAATTTTAGTTGACACCTTACAGGTACCAACCCCATACAGAACACAAAGAATGAAAGTCTTGGATTCCTGCCTGGGCTGAGTCAGCCAGGGTAGATCGGGTACACTGAGTCCAACCCCTCTTCCCAACCATCTCCCCAACAGGTCCAACAGACTCTGGAGGCCCGGGCAGCCGCTGCAGCCACAGTAGTTCCTCCCATGGTGGGTGGTCCTCCTTTTGTGGGCCCAGGTAAGTAAAGAGTGGCTGACAAGAGGGTTAGAGGATCAGGCGGGGTAGTACAAAGAGATGCCCAGGGCTCTTCCCATCATCCTCTTCTTTTCTTTCCCAACAGTTGGCTTTGGCCCTGGTGATCGGAGTCACCTGGACAGTCCAGAGGCTCGAGAAGCCATGTTCCTGCGGCGAGCAGGTAGGTCAGGGACAGGAACCCCACATTTAACCAGGAACCCTGGTTTAGGTGACTTCAGCCTTTTGTCTGAATCACCGCTTTAAATCACCTTCTATGTTCATTTCTTTGCTTGTGTTGTCATCTTTCTAAAGTACAAACCACTGTGTACTTACTTCCTGGGTTTTTTTGTTTGTTTGTTTTATTTTGTTTTTTGAGACAGGGCCTCACTATGTAGTTGAGACTGACCTGGAACTCACTATGTAGCCCAGGCTGGTCTTGAACTCACAGTGATCCTCCTGCCTCAGCCTCCCAAGTGCTGGGATTACAGGCGTATGCCACCACGCCCAGCTTTTTTCCTGATTAGTTTAAATCTGTTTGGTTTTAACCTAGTCGTTGGAAACCAACCCCCATCACTCCTAATCCTTTACCTTTACAGTTTCTCCCTAGTACTTAACACTTTATAACAAGCTATACTGTTTACTTAGGGTTATCATCTTTTGCTTTCATAAAATACAAGCTTTGTAAAGGGCAGAACTCTTGAGTCCTACCATAAAGTAAGCATGATTTACTATCAAATAAAGGGCTGAACAGATTCGCGAACAAGCACTAAGCTCCTTACCTAGTAGTCAAGACCCTGCATGACCTGGTTCTTTCCAGAGAGAGAGCTGCGCAGCCTCCCCGGAATCCCCAAACATTGCTAAGGTGTACCAGCAAGGCCTTGTTGAGGTCCCTTCTCCCTGTTGCTGCTTTCAGTCAGCTGTAATATCCCAACCTATGCTTTCCACAGCCCATTCTTCAAGTTTTTTCACCTTTTCAAATAACCCCTACACAGTTTTTATGATGTCACTTACTTACATATGAAAAGGACATGTAAAAGTCTAACATAATAATCTCTGTTAGGTCAAACTTGTTAATTAGGTTTTCTAAATCCTCCTGTACTCCTCTGACAACATCTAAGAAGTATTAATTCTTTTGTAAGGTTTTGATCAAAAGGCAAATCCAACCTACCTGAAATCATCCTGCCCAATTTCTTTTTGTTTTTTTGTTTTGTTTTTGTTTTGAGACAGGGTCTCGCTATGTAGTTGAGACTGACCTGGAACTCACTATGTAGCCCAGGCTGGTCTTGAGCTCACAGCGATCCTCCTGCCTCAGCCTCCCAAGTGCTGGGATTACAGGCGTGAGCCACCACGCCCGTCCTGCCTGGCTTCTAACCCTACTTCCAGTGCCCTCTGAAGGACATCCATGGCTCAGCCAGGCAGGCTATACTTAGCTGCCTGCTGCCATCAAAACATTTTCATAATGCTTTCCAACCTGACATTTTTTCCATCACAGTCACACTAAGCTGAAAAGGGAAAGGGGATTTGTTATTTTTTTTCCTCAGTTTTTTTGAAACGGTCTCATTATGTAGTCATGGTGGCCTTGAACTTACTAGGTAGCCCAGGCTAACCTTGAACTCAGGGCTATCTTCCTGTCTCAGCCTCCCAAATGCTACCATGTCCAGCTAAGGGGTAAAGATTTTGCTCAAAAATTCTCCCTGCTGGTAACATTTCCATTCACTGTTTGCCTAACTCATTATCCTTTGGGACTCAGCTTCTAGGTTTCTTTTTTCCAGGAAACCTCTAGTCCTGCTGCCTGGGTCAGAAGACTTTGGCAGCTTTCACAGCTTCCTGTCCTTCCATCTCCTACCCAGATCCCTCTGCCTTGGTTTTCCCCCATTCTAGCTCTGATCGGTCTGGGCCATTACTCCCTAGTAACGTCGTCTTCTCGATAGGAGTTTCCTTAGAACCCTTGGTCAGTGCTGGGTCCATAGCATTATCCACCAAAAGGCTGGGCCCACCGGAGATCCTCATGGTCAGTTTTTGCTGAATGGACCAATGCAAAGACCCCCCCCCAAAAAGCCGCCAATGTCCCCAGCAGGATCCAGGATCCCCAGACTTTTTCAGTACTTCTTGGATGCTGAGAGTAAACACACACACACACACACACACACACACGCCCCTTGCCCCGAGTGCCCATCCCCCATGACACACACCCCCATCTCTCTCTCCCACAGCTGTGGCCCCTCAGAGGGCCGCTGTCCTGCGTCCAGCCTTCGTCCCTCACGTGCTACAGAGAGCAGGTGAGAGGGCCAGGGTCATCGCTGCCACAAAGCTCACTCCCCAAGCCCTCCGACTTTCCCACTAACACCCTGACAGATTCTCTTCTCTCTTCTGCAGCAGGCGGTCCCCGCCCGATGGCCCTGCGCCCCCCACACCAGGCTCTTGTGGGACCCCCTCTGCCTGGGCCCCCTGGACCACCCATGATGCTGCCACCAATGGCCCGGGCCCCGGGTCCCCCCTTGAGCTCCATGGCTGCTCTGAGGCCTCCCCTGGTAAGTGTGGATGGGGAGCTAACGCTGTGGGTGTGAAGCCCTTGCCAGTTCTGCCTGTTTTCTGACTTTGTCTCCATCTCTTTTTTTTTTTTTTCCTTTTTCTTTTTTGGTACTGGGAATCAAACTTGGGACCTTGTATTTGCAAGGTGGGCAGTGGAACCACTGAGCTAAATCCTGGCCCTCAATCTATTTCTTCATTAGCATATTATGGGGAATATTGAGTTTCCTTGTGGCATTTTCATGTATACATATAAAACACTTTGTTTATATTCAACCTGTCTTGGTTTCTGTTTTTGTCTTCATTCTTTGTGATTGAATATTTATTTATTTTTTCTCTTTTTAAAGAGAGAATAGAGAGAAATTGTGCTGAGGGGATATGTCTCTCTCTGTCTCTATTTTTCCTTTGACCGTCCCTCTCCATTTCTCTGTGTTTTTACCCGTGTCTGTCTGTCCCTCTCTGCTTGTGTTTCTCTCTTTCTGACTTACTGGAGACTTGCTTTCTTGCCTGCTGTCAGGCTTTGCTGTATGGGCAGGCATGTTTAAGATATGGCCCTGCGATCTGGCCCACTCATGCCCTTTTTTTAAAAAGTTTTTATTTTTATTAGTGTGCTTGCTGTATACAATGGTTACATTCATTGTGGGGAGTTGGTACATGTATATAACTTTCATGCTCCCCTCTTGCCCGCAGGAAGAGTCAGCAGCACCCCGAGAGCTGGGCCTAGGCCTGGGGTTGGGCCTGAAAGAGAAGGAAGAGGCAGTGGTGGCAGCGGCAGCGGCAGCTGGGCTGGAGGAGGCTGGTGCTGCGGTGGCTGTGGGAGCAGGAGGTGCTCCTGCTGGCCCTGCAGTCATTGGGCCCAGCCTGCCACTGGCCCTCGCCATGCCATTACCTGAGCCCGATCCCCTGCCCCTCCCACTGGAGGTAGTACGTGGCCTGCTGCCCCCATTGCGCATTCCTGAGCTCCTGTCCCTGCGTCCACGACCCCGGCCCCCTCGGCCTGAGCCACCTCCTGGCCTCATGGCTCTCGAGGTAAGCAGACAACATAGCAGTGAGAGGACACAAGGGGCTGGGAGGACAGGCAGGAATCTGAGCTTTCACACAGCACTGCACGTAGCCCTCCATCCAGAGCAGAGAGGACTCAGGAGAGGAAGGAGGACACACATGCCCCATCCCAGAAGCATATCCAGTCCTTTAACTGGAGGAAGAGGGTTAGGGACAAAGAGGGCGAGAGACTGTAGCACCAATTGTTTTGTCCCTCTCCCCTCGCTCTGCAGGTGCCAGAGCCCATGGGTGAAGACAAGAAGAAAGGGAAGCCAGAGAAATTGAAACGCTGCATTCGCACAGCAGCTGGAAGCAGCTGGGAGGACCCTAGCCTGTTGGAGTGGGATGCCGGTGAGTGGGCTACAGTTTGAGGTCAGGCTCTGCTGAGCCATGGACAGGCCCTACTGCCTCTGTGGGCCATGGCCATGGAAGAGGAACCAGGTAACTCCTCGACTCCCCTGTTGTTAGCCTACCTTGGGGAAGGCCGGACTGCAGCACTGAGGGGCAGGTCCCTCCCTTGGCCATAGGCCAGGGCTTTGTGACCCCTGTTTTACTCCTGAGGAGCCTGGTCTGCTCAAGTTCTAAGAGCATTCTTCCTTCCCTAACATTTTTTTTTTGAGATGGGGTCTCACTATGTAGTAGCCCAGGCTGTCCTCGAACTTGCAGTGATCCTCCTGCCTCAGCCTCCTGAGTGCTGGGATTACAGGTGTGCGCCACCACGCCTGGCTTCTTCCTCAACTTTAATGAAAAAATTTCAAGCCTGGAATAACGCAGCGAATGGACTGCCCACTACCAAAATCCTACAGTTGACATTTTGCTGTATTCACTGTATTCCTCCTGTTCAGTTTCTGTTGCTCTTATGGGGTTTGTTGTTTTTGTATTGCTAGGGATCAAACCCGGGCATGCTAGGCAAAAGCTATATCTGGACTACATCCCCAGCCCCTTCTTATTTTATGCTTGGTCACCTCAAGCTAGTTACAAGTGGAGTTACTACACCTAAATACCTTAGTATTTTCCTAAGAAAGACTCTTAGCACAGTGCCCTTATCACATCCAAGAAAATTCTGGGAATTTATTCTGTGATGTCTTATGCTCACTTTGTTATATTTCTCCAGGTGTCCCAAAACTGTTGTGGCTGTTTTTCTCCCCAGAGTATATGTAGTTTTATGTGTTTATAATTTATCCTTTGCTTGCTTTTTTTTCTTTTCCTTTTTTTTTTTTCTGTCCTGTTTAAATTGGGCTAAGGGTATTAGGAGTATGACTCAGCAGTAGTGAGTTTGCCTTGCACACTCAAGGCCCTGAGTTCCGTGCCCTGGGTCAAGGAGGAGCATTAGGTCCTGGTGGTCACTTGACCCAAGAGAAATGAATGTTCATTCGTGTAAAATGGGGTGGGAGCTTGGGAGGTGGCACATGGATTTCTACCAGCACCTGGCCCAGCCTGGCGGCCATAACGCAGATGGGCAGAGCAGGTCCTGGGCTGCACTTGCGCTTCCTGAGCCCACCTGCAGTCTCCGCACCGGATTGTCAACCTAAACAATAGTGGTTTGGACCAGGGACTTAGCTCAGCACCACAGTGCCTGCCTGGCAAGTTAGAGGTCCTGAGTTCAGTCCCAGTTCGTGGAAGGAGGGTGGGAAGAACATCTGCTGCTGAATCCCTTGCAGGGGAAGGAAGCCAGCCTGCTTACTGCTGGGCTTTAGGAGGTGCCTCCACGGTTCCGTGAATGAGAATAGGTTCTCTTCTGCCTCTTTAAGTATCCAGGCCAAACTGCATGGTGGTGCCTGCTTATATCCCAGCACGTTGGCAGCTGAGGCAGAGTTTCAGGCCAACCTGGAATGCACAGTGAGACCCTGTCTCAAAAACCAAAAAAAAAAAAAAATGTCCAGGCCAGTTTCTTTAATAGAGGGTCCTACCTCTGTTTTCTGATTGCTTCCTTCTAGGGTAGCCTAATTGTTTTGAGAGTGTCCTTTATCACCACAAAAGCTATGAGGTAACCATAGCAATAGCTGAGGGAAAAAAACAATGAACCCATCTCCTACTTTGTCCTTGACGTCCATGTCTTCTCCTGGGACCATCTACCTGTGCCAGGCCAGGCCCAAGCAGCCTCTTCCTACACCAGGCCACTGTGGGTTTGGAACCGTACTTCGGCGACCTTGGGCAAGCCCCTTTGCCTTCCAGTCCTACTTGCTTGTCCCCTCAACGGGAATGATAGTGTGTGGCCCTGGGGATGGTGACCTGTTGGGGTTGCACATGGTGGGCGGGGCACAGGCCTAACCCTGAGAATGTGCCCAGGAGTGGCAGCAGAGGTCACCCTTGGAGAAGGGTCACGAGGTGCGCTTCCAGGGCGGGGTGCACTTAGGAGGACTTTGCAGAGAGAGCAAAGCTGAGGCAGGTGCAGCCTGTGTGTGAGGTGCCACTCGGGAGCCTGGGGCCCAGCAGGGCCCAGGCACATCCATGGCAGGGGCTGTCTAGGAGACTGAGGAACCCTGGGCCCTCAGAGGAAAAGCCAGGGCCAGGTAAGCGTTAAGAGCGTCATCGTGGGTGGGCCGCAGATTTAGCTCAGTGGTTCCGCCACCGAGTTTGATCCTGAGTACCAAAATGAAATAAAGTGGTTAATGGTTGATTAAAAAAAAAAAAGCTTCATCGTGGGAATGGACGATGGCCTTGGGGTGAAAAAGAGCAGTTCATTTAGAGGTTAAAATAAAGCCGGATGCCTGCACTTTGGTCCCAGCTCTGCTGCCTCCTGGTTTTGTAATTTGGGCATTGACTTGACCTCTGCCTCAGTGTGAGAGGGCTGTTGGGAGCATCCTCTGTAAAATGAAAAGAAACCAGGTGCTTAGCAGGTTGCCTGGTGCGGGGTGGATGCTGCACAACATTTGGCTGCTAATGACTGAGGGTCCCCATGTGGAGACCTCAGGGACAAGCGGGAGGGCTTGAGGATCTTTCCAGAGAGGGTGGGGTCATTCACATGGTCAGCCAGGCAGTCACTGGGCCGGCATCTGCGTGCTCTGACCTTTTCTCTCCTGACCCCAGATGACTTCCGCATCTTCTGTGGAGATCTGGGCAATGAGGTGAATGACGACATCTTGGCACGCGCCTTCAGCCGCTTCCCATCCTTCCTTAAGGCTAAGGTGATCCGAGACAAGCGCACAGGCAAGACCAAGGGCTACGGCTTTGTCAGCTTCAAGGACCCCAGTGACTATGTGCGCGCCATGCGAGAGATGAATGGTGAGTAAGGTCTCCCCTGGGGACAGGGCGTGGGGGACATCTGGCCTGTGCCTGACCTTGCACCCTCCATTACCTCAGGGAAGTACGTGGGCTCACGCCCCATCAAGCTCCGCAAGAGCATGTGGAAGGACCGGAACCTGGACGTGGTCCGAAAGAAGCAGAAAGAGAAGAAGAAGTTGGGCCTGAGATAGGGTCTGTGGCTGGGCACCCGCTCTCACTCGGCCGGGCGCTGGCTTCTCCAACAGCTGTCTTTGGAAAACCCTGACTGTCCACCCACCCGCCCCGAAAAACAGTTTCAATAAATTTACATTCATTTCCATCCCTGGCTGGCTTCGCTTGGCATCCTTCACCTGAGAATGCGGGAGCCAGTTTACCCAGGCAGGCCTCCAGGTGGGCATTTTGAGCCCCTATGGTGCGCTGCTACTTAAAACCTCTTAAGTGTGTGCTGAATGTACCTAGTGCTAGAGGAGGAAGAAGGGTTCTGGCAAAGGAAAAGTCAGTGTTTATATCCTGGCCCCAGCCTGCGTCCTCAGTGCTGAGTGAGGTAGGGTTCTTGTGGGCCCTGCCCTTCAAGAGCTCAGCCAGGTCTGGGCACTGCGGAGGACAACAGTGACTGACTCCTGAGATCCTGCTCCCTCAGGGACCATGACAGAATAGGTTCCACGGCCGACAGCCCACAGTACCAACCTACGTGTCAGCGAGGGGCTGTTGGCAGTTTTTCCACTCAGCCGACAGTGCTTGTGAGTCTCTGTCTGAGTGCCCGTTTCTTGTGCAAGTGTCTAGGCCTTTCCTTAGCTCCAGATTTTCCTCTGCCTGTCGAACAGGCATCCATGCAGGATGTGGAATGGCCAGCTAAGAACCTAAACTTTAGGTAGCAGGGAGCCCCAAGAAGCTGGGACAAAGGTCAGGCAGCAAGCAGGGACCTGGCGTCACCGATTCGCACTTGAGAAAGATCTCTGTGACCACCGCTGAGTGCTGGAAGTCTGGGAGGAGGTTGGGGCGGGTCCTGCCAGAGAAGGGCGATTGTAGTGTGGGAGCGTGGGGAGGGCACAAGGGTCTCCCAGGGATAAAGCCATTGCAACCCTGGATTAGCGGGGCAAGTGGGGAGGGCCCGTGATGGAGGCCTCCGCAGAGAAAGATCACCCAGGAGAGGTGTCGGATTTCTCATTCCTGCCTCCCTCTTACTGCCCCTCTGACGTCACATTTTCCAGTCTGGTCAGAGGGGTGAGGGCCTCCCCGGCAGGAAGTGCCCTTCGGCCCCCTGGCCTGGGCCACCCCACACAGGACCTGCAAATCCTCCCTTCCCCCCATCATTAGCCCTTCCTAGCCCTGACCCCCTTGTCACTGCAGCCATGGGGCCATGGGAGCAGAGGACTCCAGAAAGGATTCCATTAAAATATGTACAAGATCCTGACAGTGGGGGAGACGTGCACAGAGATGGAGAGCTGACAGGCACAGGGAAGCTCAAGGACTCGGTGCAGTGGGGAGTAAGGAGAAACCCAAGAGACAGACGGGAATGCTCAGGAGGTTTTGCTGCCACCAGGCCTGCTACAACAGGGAGCCAGAGCTGCGGACACCAACCAGAGGCGAGGCAGACGTGGACAGACACAAACAGGCCAGCTTCAGGGGGAGAATGCCTAGAGAACAGAGCAGGCCAGGACTCAGTCTCGGGCCCATAGGGTGGGAGGCTGAAGATGCCAGTGAGGCCCAGCGCTCCACGTGCTCAACACTGTGTGCAAGCCCAGCCCCACGTGACTCCCGAGATTCAGTTTCCCTTTTGTAAAATGGACCAGAGAGCAGCATTCCCCTCCGCCTTCCAGAATGGCAAATAGCTCACGACCAAGGAACTGGGTAGATGTGAGATGTGGAAACTATCCATATCGAGACAGTATTTTTGAACGGTAAATATGTACTTATTTCTATAGGGAGATGGACATAAGCACAGTATCTGAAGCCAGGTTGCTTGGACTAAGGGCCACCAGACTCAGCAAATTAGAGGATGGGGCCAGGGATTTAGCTCAGTGACACTGTGCCTACCTCACAAGTGCAAGGTCCTGAGTTCAATCCCCAGACCCCACCCCAAGAAAAGAGGACAACTACTTACTGAATTTCACATAGTTTTTAGTTTTGAGTATATGTCTGGAATAGTGCATATGTGTATGAACCTTTACATGCATGTGTTTTTGCTTTTGCCAAATCATTTGAAGCAGGTCACAAAATATCCATCATTTCCTAATAATGACATCATAGAATACTAGGGCCGGGGATGTAGCTCAGTGGTCCTGCCACCTGTCTTGCAAGATCAAGGTCCCAAGTTTGATCCCCAATACCACCCTGCCCCCCAAAAAGAAAACAAAGAATATGATTATCACATATCAAATCTAAGAAAGTAACTCCACATGACATCTCTCATCTTCTCCCTCCTTCCTCCCTCTCTCTTTCACTTTTTGAAACAGGGTCTCACTTTGTCTTGCTTCAGGCTGTCCTTGAACTCATGGCAATCCTCCGGCCTCAGAGCTGTCTACCAAGTGCTGGGATTACAGGCATTCGCCACCATGCCTGGCCCATGTGATATGTCATATTCAGTTCATACTCAAAATTTTCCAGTTGTCCCAAACTATTATAGCTCAGAATTACATGGGGCTATGAAAAGTGAAATGGAAAGATGTCTGCCTCAATTTTCCCTTTCATAAAACAGGGAAGGAGTGGTTTCTACTCTATAAAAGGATTAAATGAAGGCCCAGTGCATACGGCTCATTGACAGGCAATTCCTCCTGTGATGTTGGCTGTTATTTTACTACTGCTATGGTCCATGTTTCTCGTGTTAATATTGTATTATGATTGACACTACTCCTGGGCAGCCCCCGAACACCGTTTGCAACTCGTCCTGGGAGGGAGGGGGGTGGTGATGCAGGGTCCACTTCGATCTCCCACAGTCACTCTGTTGATTGTGACGTAGGCTGACGCTGGGGACAGGGGGGTATCTGGCCGGAAATCCCGCTTCCTGTTGTAGATAAGCCTGGTGCAGCCCAGCTGACCCCCAGACCCTCCTCCCTTCACCTCCCATGTTGCAGGATCAAATCCCCATGACGGAAAACCTGTCCACCCTGCCCAACCCCCAACTCGTAAACATGCCAGGCCCCTGGCCCCCGCCTTGCCCAGCCAGCTGTTCCCCAAGCCATCCCTGCACCAGGACAGCTCCAGAGGCTGCATCCCTGAGGCTGGGGGCGCTGCTCGGCTCCGCCCCCGGGCCTGCAACTTGACCCAGGCTGCGACCCCCTGCTCTGACGTCTCGGAAAATTCCCCCTCCCCAGGTCCCCCCAGGGGGGGTGTGGGGTATGAAATGGGACTGAGACCCCCGGCTAGGGGCAGAGGAACCCGCCAGAGGTGAGCCATGAAGTGGGGACAGGATAGATGCCTGGGCTGGGAGTCTGGTTAGGAAGGAGCTGGGGGCCTGAAAGAGGAAGGGAATGAAGTCCCTCATTCCTGGTCTGAGAGAAAAAGGGGCTGGAGGCCAAGATGCCAGCTTCCTCAGGAGAGGGAGCAGAAGCTTGGACCCTTGAGTCTGAGGGAGGCAGACTTCAGGGTCCCTAAGGGTCACCAGCTCATCCATGGTGGCCTTTGGATTTTTCCCTACCAGGTCATTCCAAAACGAGCACCCATGGACGCTTGGAGCTGCCATGAGACCCCACCACAGGAAGTGCCTCCGGGGAACAAGCTGTCAGGCCCGGGTAGGGGCTGGGCTGAGACAATCTGTAGGGAGGATGCCCGGCTGGGGGCCGCTGCTGATCCCTGACTGGCCTTAAAATCCTTTTTGCCTGCAGAAGAGACTGAATTTGGCTTCTATTTCCCTGAACTGGCGCTCCAAGGGGACACAGCGACAGGCGAAACATACTGGAAAGGTGGCTGCTGGGCTGGGACCCCTGGGTGTTGGGGGGATGGAGTCTGGGCCCCTAAGTCTGGGGGAGGCATGCCTAGACTCCCCAGGTGAGTAAGGGGACCCCTGAAGTTGGAGGAGGGGCCCGGGGTCCTCAGTGAATAACTCCCTGCCCCTGACAAAGACCAGAGTGGGTTGGGCGAGTGAGGTCTCCAAGTCCTGACTCCCACCCTTTCTGAACTCAGTTTCGATCCTATCCTTGCAGGGTTCCCAGAGCTAGACTGGAGCCCCGCGTTACCACATCCAGAATATACGTGGGGAGCAGGTGAGCGTGCGCACAGAGGCGGTGGCAGGAGAGGCCTGGGGTCCTGTCTCCCTGTGCTCAAGCAGAAGGACGGGGCTAGCAGAGGTGGCGGAGCCTAGATCTGACAGTCCTGGTTCTGAGATGCCGGGACTGAAAGCGTAGACCCCTCGAACGCCGGTAGGATCCGGGGATCGGGACATCTGGGCTCCCCTCACTTGGGTTCGATTCCTCCTCACAGAGCTCGCCCCTCTGGCCCCGACGTGGCCCGGACACTGGACACACCTGGCGCGCACCGCCTCGGACCCTTGCAGCCTCGCCTCCCCGAGCCTGGAGCCCGCCCTCGGCGCACTTTCCTGTCTATGCTGTGAGACACCTTCTCCTCAGGGAAAGTGTCTGCCTCTCTTTCAAACTGCTTTTACTATTTCCCGTGAAAAAATATTTTTCATGGTGATGAAAAGCAATTTCTGTCTTCCTGCCGATCCAGCAAAGAATCTTTGAGAGATGCTTGTGCTTTCCTGGTATGAGGGTGTAAAATCTGCAGGACATGG